AAATGTGTGCACATTTTGAGGAACAATAGCAAAGGCAGTTTCTTGTGTGAAGCCTAGTGGTATGCATATGTATAATTTTTCCACATGCACGGTAAATCATGGAAATACCTTGATCAACCTGAAATTATTGCCCCCGTTTGCTCCCCAAAGCAAAACCCTGAAAAACTTAAAGAACAGTGGTATAACTATTGCATATTACAATTTTGATCTGGAGAAGTGTAACATACGGTGGAGAGAAATTATGGTAGTGCAGTGGATGTGGTTGACCTCTATTTCAGTAAAGCATCTGACAATGTCTCCCACAGCATCCTCGCAGATAAACTGAGAAAGTGTGGTCTGGATGATCAGGTAGTGAAGCAGATTGTGAAGTGGTTGAAAAAAAGAAGTTAGAGAGTTGTGGTCAGGGAGGCAGAGTCAAGTTGGAGGCCTGTATCTAGTGGAATCCCTCAGGGGCTGGTACTGGTGCCACTACAATTCAATATATTCATCAGTGACCTGGATGAGGGAACAGAGAGCGCTGCCAGCAGTTTTGCTGGTGATACAAAACTGGGAGGAGTGGCTGACACAGCAGAAGGCTGTGCTGCCATTCAGCAAGACCTAAACAGGCTGGAGAGTTGGGCAGGGAGAAATCAAATGAAACACAACAAGGGCAAGTGTAGAGTCCTGCATGTGGGAAAGAACAACCCCCTGCACAGTGCGAAATTATGGTAGTGCAGTGGATGTGGTTGACCTCTATTTCAGTAAAGCATCTGACAATGTCTCCCACAGCATCCTCGCAGATAAACTGAGAAAGTGTGGTCTGGATGATCAGGTAGTGAAGCAGATTGTGAAGTGGTTGAAAAAAAGAAGTTAGAGAGTTGTGGTCAGCGAGGCAGAGTCAAGTTGGAGGCCTGTATCTAGTGGAATCCCTCAGGGGCTGGTACTGGTGCCACTACAATTCAATATATTCATCAGTGACCTGGATGAGGGAACAGAGAGCGCTGCCAGCAGTTTTGCTGGTGATACAAAACTGGGAGGAGTGGCTGACACAGCAGAAGGCTGTGCTGCCATTCAGCAAGACCTAAACAGGCTGGAGAGTTGGGCAGGGGGAAATCTAATGAAATACAACAAGGGTAAGTGTAGAGTCTTGCATCTGGGAAAGAATAACCCCATGTACCAGTATAAGCTGGGGACTGCCCTGTTAGAGTGTAGCATAGGGGAAAGGGACCTGGGGTCCTGGTGGACAGCAGGATGACCATGAGCCAGCAGTGTGCTCTCGTGGCCAAGAAGGCCAGTGGCATCCTGGGGTGTATTAGAAGCGGTGTGGTTAGTAGGTTGAGAGAGGTTCTCCTCCCCCTCTACTCTCCCTTGGTGAAGCTGCATATGGAATATTGTGTTCAGTCCCAGGCCCCTTGGTTCAAGAAGGACAGGAAATTGCTTGAAAGAGTCAAGCACAGAGCCACAAAGATGGTTAAGAGAGTGGAGCATCTCTCTTATGATAAAAAGTTGAGTGAGCTGGGTCTCTTTAGCTGGAGAAAGAGGAGACTGAGAGGTGACCTTATTAAAGTTGGTAAATATGTAAAGTGTCAGGAGGATGGAGCCAGGCTCTTCTCTGTGATGTTCAATAGCAGGACAAAGGGCAATGGGTTCAAGCTGGAACATAAGAGGTTCTGCAGAAACATAAGGAAAAATTTTTCACGGTGAGGGTGACAGAGCACTGGAACAGGCTGCCCAGAAGGGTTGTGGAGTCTCCTTCTCTGGAGACGTTTAAAACCTGCCTGGATGTGTTCCTATGTGACCTGCTCTAGGTGGTCCTGCTCTGGCAGGTAGGTTGGATTAGATGATCTTTCGAAGTCCCTTCCAACCCTTATCATTCTGTGATTCTGAGAGATATGAATCTGCAACAGTACCTCAAGCTGATTAGAACTTTGAAGTAGACTTTTATTCTTAAATTAAGCACATTAACACATATAAGCAACATGATCTAAATTAAACCTTCTCTAGTGAGGTGTAGGACTATTGCTTACAGAGGTCCTTTGATTGTGCCTGTGATTCTATGCACTCCAAACCTGTTTTATTAAAAAACAAGAAAACAAACAAACCAACCCAAAAATTCCCACTAAAAATCAAAGGACTAGAAAAATTTGATTTCTAAGCAGGGGGGTGTTTAGGTTGTAACAGACCTGCTAGATAAGAAAGATTGAATTTTAAACACCTATCAACTTTAAAACATCAGATTTATTAAATACCTGGTTGAGAATCTGTATCTGAAGGATGTTTTGTGGTGTTTTGCTTGTTCGCTTGTTTTTATTTATTTATTTGGTTTTGCTTTTGCTTATTTTTGAGAATTGCCTGTATATCTCCACTGCTTATTGCATGAGTCTCCGCTTCTCCTTAGGCATGCAGGCTTCTCCTTGTCATACTAGGTATATTGAATTAAATCTTTGAATTTCTGTACAGCTGAAGTGAAGGTCAAGGTTAAATGGCTCTGCATCCATGTGTATTTAAAAACTAAGGGAAGAAGAAAATCAATTTACCAAGAAAAAACTTTTTAGCAGAGTTTTAGAGAGGGAAGACTCAAGAAAAGATACTGTTGAGACACAGCTTGCAATTTCATTATAGGATAACAACTCCATCAAACTAATTTCTATTAATGTCTTCAGGCCAGAAAAGCAATTTCAGACCTCAGCTAGAATAATCTTACTTGAGTAAGTACACTATAATACTGAGTCGTTTTAACAGTGAGTCAATGTGTGTTTGCCCATTGTATAGATTCCACTAATTCCTGAAATGGTATATTGAAAAATTAGGGGAATAATGTAAAACACAGATGTTGAATGCAGCATTGACTCCTCACTTAAGACATTATCCGTGCTTGTATTTTGGGGTTACGGCATTTAATGATTGATAAAGACTTTGTGATGCTGGTGTAAATCCTAAAAATAAATGCTTATTTTTTTAATTCTGGAAAACGAAAATACTCATTTTATCATGCTAGAAACTCGCCCTTTTATGCATATGGATTTAAAAAGAAAATAATTTATTTGAATTATTTTGATTTTGAGTGGGTTTTTATGTGTGTTGTCTGAAGACATTGTTTTTTAGAAAACTATCAATTATGATAGGTACTATGTATATGCCTCTGTGGAGTGATGAACACTTTAGTAGGGAGAATAAATATATATAATAAA